TTTGTAAAATCCTTCATTAAAAATAAAATATAGGAAAGGTAATATGTTACTGCCATCTACAGGAGCAATGAGAAACTAATCGAAGCGAAGCCATGTACTGGCCGACGCCCGTAAACAATTTTTTTGAGTGCTTGAGTTGCTTATCTATAACTAATTTATGTGTATTATCTATGTATTTAGTCGTGAAATTTCACCATGGAACGCTACAGGCTAGTCTGGCGGTGTCATCGACTGTTAGGACTGTTATTTCTTCGAAGATGCGCAAGGAGCCAGCCGTGTTCACTATAAATGGCGACCGATATCGGAGGATGATAACAAACTTTTTGTGGCCTAGATGGTATGGATCTCACAAGCACGTGGTTCCAACAGGACGGCGCCACTTTTTTTTTTATTGCTTAGCTGGGTGGACGAGCTCACAGCCCACCTGGTGTTAAGTGGTTATCGGAGCCCATAGACGTTTACAACGTAAATGCCGCCACCTTGAGATATAAGTTCTAAGGTCTCAGTATAGTTACAACGCCTGCCCCACCCTTTAAGTCGAAACGCATTGCTGATTCACAGCAGAAATACGCAGGGCGGTGGTACCTACCCGTGCGGACTCACAAGAGGTCCTACCACCAGTAAATATATAGAGTGAACACGATAAATGTTTCCAAGAACTTAATGACTATACAGGAAGTTCGAATGTGCCGGACGATCACGTAGTCCTTACGTTTTTTTACGATAGGACCGCTAATTTTGATAGTTATTTGATGATATTTGATGATTAAATTTCTGAGACTATTCGCATAGCCTTCACAGAACCAACCGTCAACACGTGACTGGATCGTGTTTTTGTTACCTTTTAATAGTCTTTTTGAAAATAATTGTATTTGTGATGAATCTGACTGACTCGGTGGTGGAGTAATTAGAGCTCCTAATTGTTGCGGAATAGGTCTTGGGTTCGATTCCCATATCGAGCAAACAGTGTGTGATTAACAGGTTTGTTTGCTCTTTGTCTGGATGTTTATCTAAACTATTCTAAACGAATCTATACTAATATATAAATCTACATTGGTTTTTACGGATGTTCCGTTATAACTACTAAACCGTGCATCGGATTGACTTGAAACTTGGTATCCATGTAGACAATACATGTACTTAATGGATAGGCTAATATTTATATGAGTGTTGGACTCCCTAATAATAATGATAATAAATAATAATGTTAATTTTAAATGCCCAGCGAAGCGGACGAGTACGACTAGTAATATTATAAAGCTGAAGAGTTTGTTTGTTTGAACGCGCTAATCTGAGGAACTACTGGTCCGATTTGAAAAATTCTTTCAGTATTAGATAGCCAATTTATCGAGAATGGCTATAGGCTATATAACATCACGCTAAGACCAATGCAAGCGAAGCACCAATAAAGTTTCAAAATCGGGATTTTAATCCTTTTTGAGAGCTACCACTGCGTGCGCTGCGGAAACGGTTAAAGTTTCGCTAAAGTAATGTATGAGAGTCTTCTCTGTGTCTGCATCTGTCTAATGTATGAGAGTCTCTTTTGAAGTCGGTTAAAAAGCGTGATTTTGGTACCTTAAATAACTCTTTAGCATTCTATTATTCAAAAATATTATCACTTTCTACGTAAATGAAGAGGCGAGTAAAATTTAGCGTTATGTCAAAGTAACTATTCCACGCGGACGAAGTCGCGGGCAAAAGCTATTATAGTTATCTATATATGTGTATATTTAAACATATATAAGTATGTATGTCAGTCTCTGGTACCCATAACATAGGGAATCTTCGATATTTATACCTACTATAAAGGAAAATCTAAGTAAATATTTAATCCATATATTAATATGTGAAGCAAAAACGTTGTACCCATTTTAAAGTTAATTTTGCGGACGGAGATGTATGAAATTTCCCATACTTATAAATATTAAAGAGAAGGAGTGCAGAATGCTAATATTTTTTTTTTTAATTATGCATAATAAATACATTAAATCAATTAAAAAAATATTATATAATATTTTTTTAATTGATTTAATGTATTTATTATTAATGTATATAGTGTATGTATATACACTACCCACAATTTGTATTTGACACACACACGGATATAAACTCTTTTGTTTATGTTTAAAGTCAAATTGTCAAATTGAGAAAAGATTAATATTGTTTGTCTTTAATATTATTTGTCTATAGTGTTTGTCTATATATATTTGTTTGTTTATATATTGTATGTTGTCTATATATTTGTTTGTTTGTATAGTTGTTTGTCTATAGTTATTTGTTTAAAGTTGAAGTCGTCGTGGCCTAAAGGATAAGACGTCCGTTGCATTCGTATGTAGCGATGCACCGGTGTTTGAATCCCGTAGGCAGATACCAATTTTTCTAATCAAATACTTAACAAATGTTCACGATTCACTTCCACGGTGAAGGAATAACATCGTGTAATAAAAATCAAACCCGCAAAATTATAATTTGCGTAATTACTGGTGGTAGGGCGTCTTGTGAGTCCGCACGGGTAGATACCACCGCCCTGCCTATTTCTACCGTCAACCAGTAATGCGTTTCGGTTTGAAGAGCGGTGCCTCCGTCCTAACAACTGTCATTCATTTTCGTTTGCTAACGTCAAGAGGAGATTTCTAAATTGTTCTAAGATAACAAACGTGATTGGTCTACTCAATATTTCTCTTAGCTCGATCACCCTATTCGCCCTGCGATGTCTGACAGCGGTGTTAATAATTGTGTCTTCTCCGACACATATATGTCGAGGGGTGAAAGACTATTTGGTTAAGCGACATTTTTGCAACTTACAGGAGAGCCATTTAAAGTTTAAGATTTGAAAAAAATATGTAAAAAAAAAACTTGTTTAATTGAAGTTCAATTAAAAACATCGAATCGTTGATACTAATCTATACATATAAATAAAATTGGAGTGTCTGTTTGTAATATTGAAATAGCCTCTTTTTACTACATGCATATGAATCTATATACGGTACATACACCCAAATAATTATTTTTACAATTTTTGTATGTCTGTATGTCTGTCTGTTTGTCCCGGCTAAACTCTGGAACGGCTGGACCGATTTTGACGGGACTTTCACTGATAGGTAGCTGATGATATAAGGAGTAACTTAGGCTCCTTTTTTTAGACTAGCTTCGCCCCGCGGTTTCACCCGCGGTACGACAATAACCGCGGATAACATCGCGGGACTCATCAATAATAAAATTTAATGTTTCCGAAGCGAAGCGAGGGCGGGTCGCTAGTTTCAAATAAAACGAACCTTTAATTTTCAAAGATAAATGTAGCGTTTTAAGCGAAATGGCGTTTAAGCCAAACTAGCGAGGTCCCGCAGTAGTCGAAATACGACTATAATTAATTGCAATTGTAAGTTTGAACACTATTATGATTGTATTTTATACTTCTATAATCACAAATTTCGCCAAGGCTACACTATAAAATATATATTAACAAAGACAAACAATATTGAATCTCAATTTGACAACAGACGTCAAGAAGAAAAGTTTGACAATAAATAGTATGCATGCGTGTGTGCGTCAAATACATGGTATGTAGTGTGTGTAATTTTTACTTATTGATTTAATGTATCTTTTATGCATTATTTAAAAAAAATATTAGCATTGTGCACTTCTTCTCTATATTCTCTATAAGTGTGGAAAATTTCATACTCCTCCGTCCGCGCAATTTTCGTAAAAAGGGATACAAAGTTTTTGCTTCACGTATTAATATATAGATAGCTTTTCACCTCACGATAATAATAATAATAATATAACTCTTTATTTAACACCACATGTACAGAGTAAGCATATAAAACAAATAATAGTCGGTGACATAAATTGGAGGTCTTATCACTGAAAGCGATCTCTTCCAGGCAACCTTGCAGGGAGAGGAATAAGTAAACTGGACAGTGCTATATCTTAATAAATTTACATAAAAATAAATAATTATATACACATGTGAAAAATAAATACAATATAAGATAGACTTACTTACATACGATTAAATACAAATAAACACTAAAAATATGCAAGTAAATACAAAATAGCAAATACAAAGTAGGAACAAGTTATACAATTATATCGTAGGAGCCATATTATTGTGCATATGACGATATGAATTCAATTACCAAACAATTGTACAAATATTATCATATGGTTTCACGACTTAAATTCTTAGTAAGTTATTAGTACATTGATACTGCATGACTACTACACCATCAAAAGCAAAGAGCAGCAATTAAAATTTGCAAGTAGGAAATTTGTTTTCTGTGTGTCTTAAATAATCATTGAATTCCAGGGCCACAGCTAGAAAATTCACTGTTTAAAATAATAACCTTGTGTCTTTGTTAGAAGAGCAATGAAAACAATTTACGAACGGAATGGCAAGTCCAAAATCGGACAATTTACGAACGAAATTGCAAGTTCAAAATCGGACAATTTTGTGTGAATAATTTTTATTTTTTTAATTAAGTATATTTTCAGGTTCATACGTCTAATGACGGTGGATTGCTAAATGTGTCACGCCGGTAAGCGTAACGTCATCTATCGCCGAGTAGTCGGACGAATATCGAAGGATCTAGTAGCACCTAGAACGCTCGAGACGTACAACGCCATCTATTGTCAGATAGCGGAAACACAATACTCGATTGGTGTGGAATATTCTAGATAATTCTAGGGATGTGGTATCGGCTATAAAAGCGTTGCAGAGGAAAAATTCAGCCAATAACCACCATTTTACTGAGACTGTATTAACATTAACATGAGACTGTATTTAGTTTCCTTTAATTTCATCCCGATTGATTAAAGTCTTCAATTAACCAAATTCATCTCATTTCGTTCGATATAATCTTTCATATTATTCTTCAGATATATGTACACATTTGTATTTATTTAGTAATAGATTATTTTTGTACACTTGGCCCTGGCAACATCAGTGAGAAAACAATTGCCATACTTAAAAAAAGAAGTAGCGTAGTAATATTACTCACAGATTATAAAAGTCCTTGTCGAAATCGTTTATCGCTTCTCGACATTTTTCATTTCTCTCTCCGACACTACAATGTTTATTTAGCGCTGAACTTCCACTGCCCTCGACGGAGTCCACATCACCCTCGATACTGCGGTAGGCGTTGGAGTGAAGTCTCTCGGTGTTCTCGTGTTCAAAACCTTGGTTGACGATGCCGGTCGCCATTTTGGTGATCTGTGAAGATTAGAGTATGGAGGTTAGAGGTAAGAAACATCATCTTGTATAGGGGACAAGTTGAAAAGAAAACAGTAAGTTGTCGTTCGAAGATTCACTGTAATAGTGCTAATGTAGGAAGTGGAAATTATATGAATATAGCAGTTTTGAACGGAGTGAAGTTTGCCGGGTTGAAGTGAAGTGTGTTAGTTTATGGAACCACCCGATTAGCTTCCTCATGTCTCTAGGCAAATTGTATGAGCGTCTGCTCTACAAACGCCTCAGAGACTTCGTCTCATCCAAGGGCATTCTCATCGACGAACAATTCGGATTCCGTGCAAATCACTCATGCGTACAACAGCTGCACCGCCTCACGGAGCACATTCTCGTAGGGCTTAACCGACCAAAACCGCTTTACACGGGAGCTCTCTTCTTTAACGTCGCAAAAGCGTTCGACAAAGTCTGGCACAACAGTTTGATTTCAAACTTTTCAACATGGGCATGCCGGACAGTCTCGTGCTCATCATACGGGACTTCTTGTCAAATTGCTTTTTTCGATATTGAGTTGAAGGAACCCGCTCCTCCCCGCGACCTTTAACGGCAGGAGCCCCGCAAGGCTCTGTCCTCTCGCCCCTCCTATTCTGTTTATTCGTCAACGATATTCCCCGGTCACCGCCGACCCAATTAGCTTTATTCGCCTAAGACACGACTGTTTACTACTCGAGTAGAAACAAGTCCCTAATCGCGAGGAAACTTCAGAGCGGAGACGTAGCCCTAGGACCGTGGTTCGGAAAATGGCGCATAGACATCAACCCAGCGAAAAGTATTGCGGTGCTATTTCAAAGGGGAAACTCCACACGGATATCCTCCCGGATTAGGAGGAGGAATGTCACACCCCTGATCACCCTCTTCGGCCAACTCATACCCTGGGCCAGGAAGGTCAAGTACCTGTCTTATCGGATCCCTCGTATTCACTCTCGGCGCTTTTAGGACCCTCAAGCATCGGCCACCGTTCGAACGAGCGAACTAACCCATAGACACAGCCCACTGAGTTTCTCGCCGGATCTTCTCAGTGGGTCGCGTTTCCGATCCGGTGGTAGATTCTGCGAAGCACTGCTCTTGCTAGGGCCAGTGTTAGAAAATTCTCTCAGGTTGAGCCCGTGAGCTTACCTACCCGTCCGGGCGTTATTGGAATAGCCTCTTAGACTACAAACGATTAGGTAGGAAAAAAAGATATAAACTTCTCATTTTACTATCGTAGCCTCCTAACAATGTAGTTAATGGAGTCTTATTCACACAATGTATGGAGTTTATCAACTAAAATACCACGCTTAAACATCAAACCGAACTAATAATGAATTTCAATTGTTCTTTCATCCCGTTATTACCGTTCCGATATTATAGAAGTTACAAAGTTATTGTATCGTCATCTGCACTGTGAGCCCACTGAGTTTCTTGCCGGATCTTCTCGGTGGGTCGCGTTTCCGATCCGTGGTAGATTCAAGTCGCTTTCAGACTACGCTATAATATAACAGCATATAGTATATAGCTCATAGCACAGCGATATCGCGCACCATACATTGTTATGGACACGTTCACACTGTACTGTATAGGAAGTCGTCGTGGCCTAAAAGATAAGACGTCCGGTGCATTCGTATCTAGCGATGCAACGGTGTTCGAATCCCGCAGGCGGGTACCAATTTTTCTAATGAAATACGTACTTAACAAATGTTCACGATTGACTTCCGCGGTGAAGGAATAACATCGTGTAATAAAAATCAAACCTTCAAAATTTAAATTTGCGTAATTACGGGCGGTAAGACCTCTTCTGAGTCCGCACGGGTAGGTACCCACCACCCTGCCTATTTCTGCCGTTAAGCAGCAATGCGTTTCGGCTTGAAGGGTGGGGTAGCCGTTGTAACTATACTTGAGACCTTAGAACTTATATCTCAAGGTGGGTGGCGCATTTACGTTGTAGATGTCTATGGATTCCAGTAACCACTCAACATCAGATGGGCTGTGAGCTCGTCCACCCATCTAAGTAATTAAAAAAAAAAAACTAAATATATTGTTGGCTAAGTATACGCTGCTACACTATATGGCACTATATATATATATATATAGTATAGCGTAGTCTGAAAACGGCTTCAGCGCAGCACTGCTCTTGCTAGGGCTAGTGTTAGCAACGTCGTCAGGTCAGAGCCCCGCGAGCTCACCTACTCGCCCGGTTAAGCTGGGAGTACCTCTTAAGGCTACCAGCATATATAGAGAAAAAAACGCGATTGATGCGTGCGTAAATTTTCAAATTATTCTAGCATCTTGAAGTCAATGGAAATGACGTTTAAAGATACCTTTAAATTAAAGGTAATAAATATATAAAAAATATATTTAGTTTTATTTATTTATTTATTAGATGGGTGGATGAGCTCACAGCCCATCTGATGTTGAGTGGTTACTGGAGTCCATATACATCTACAACGTAAATGCGCCACCCACCTTGAGATATAAGTTCTAAGGTCTCAAGTATAGTTACAACGACTACCCCACCCTTCAAGCCGAAACAGGCAGGGTGGTGGGTACCTACCCGTGCGGACTCAGAAGAGGTCTTACCACCAGTAATTACGGAAATTATAATTTTACATATGAAGAAACGCGCAAGCGAACCTAATGAAATTTTAGTTTAAAATGTAAAAAGAAAAAAATATATACATACCCAATAAAAGTTCAGCGAACCGGCACAAAAGCTTCAAATTCACACACTAATTTCGTAACTAAACTTATTCTGTTCAACACTACAATAATTAAAAGACTAATTAAAAAAAAAACTAATAATTTAGTCCCGTTAGCATCAAACACAATGCCATTCTCGCGACTTAAACAGATGAAGTCGGAATGTGTAATGTTGAAATTCTCAAAAAATATCACTATGTTATACATTTTCGATAATATCATCACACGTGCGTCCGTGCAAACGTTCATAGGTAGACGACACACACACGTGTAAGAGAACGCTGCGCACGAAAGTGTTTAGAACTAATTTTATTTATTACAAAGACGCAAAAGCAATTTCGGAAAACAAAAGGAAACATGTTGAATGGTATTTAACAGCATTATTATCGAATAGTCTTATAGTTTTGGCGGGCAAAAAATACAACGTGAATACGAAATAGTTTAATTTTTTTTTAATGGGATTTTATGACTTGGTAACTAAGACCTTCAGGTCAAGTCTTATTTTAATTTATATTCTTATTTTTATGAAAAATTATAATATGAAATGAGATGAGATGATATAGTATGAAATATAATCTCAGTAAAATGGTGGTCATTTACTGAGACTTTTTCAGTGCACTTTTTGGAGGATCCCGAGAAGTTACGTTCAGCGGCTTTGTTTGATTTTCTCACATTTGTGCACTTTCGCAGATACTAACCAGTTAATAAACCACCGTTATTACACACTTAAACCTGAAGAAACACTAAATAGACAAAATAAAACAAATCACACAACTTCACTCTTCGCGTTCCCGCCAAAAAGTCCCCCGAAATAATTTAATAACAATAAAAACGCAAGATTAAGTCACGTAAAAGTAATTTTAATTGTACCTTATGACCGAGGAAAACCACTGAAAGTACTAGGTTTTTAATGGTTCTACCCCTGTCTCTTTTCGCTCGTATGCGAACGAAAGAGACAGCTGCAACTAGATCTGAGTGTACCAAATAAAAATTGACTTTTCTAATTAATTATTCTCCGCAAAATTGGATTAATTTCGATATTTATTACGAACTAGCTGACCCGGCAGACTTCGTAGTGCCTCAATCGATAAATAAAGGACTTAAACTTTAGCGTAAAAAAAACTTTAAAAAAAACAAAAGGAATCCGTCCGACGGGGGACACATCAAAGGAAAAACAAAATTGTTTGTTTTTGTATAATTCCGAGCATTTTCATATTTATTCACTTTTTAAACCTTCTCTGGACTTCCACAAATAATTCAAGACCAAAATTAGCCAAATCGGTCCAGCCGTTCTCGAGTTTTAGCGAGACTAACGAACAGCAATTCATTTTTATATTATATAGAAGAAGAAGATAGAAGATAATATCTAACAGATCGGCATTTATTGCTTTAGTTTGTCTTCAATTGTGCGTTTCAAGGATGTCAGATGTCAAAAAACGGCGGGAAAAATAACCTAAATACATATATTACGAGTATTAGTTTGTTATCTGCGCTCTGAGACGTAGTTACTTCTTTTAAAGTTAAAAATCGCACTTCCTGATCGCATCTGTCGTCTTTTGTGTTAGAAATTTTGGATGTTCTTAATTTAATAGAAAGCCAAAAGGCAATTTCAGAAATAACTGGTTCAAATCTTCTAAATCATTAGTGTGTCAATTCGATACGTAATGGAGACGTTATGGATACGTTGTCACCATCGTTGGCTTTATAGTTTTGGCACTTTGACGCTGCGGCTTTAGCACAGTGTATTTTAGAAGAAAAACATTATCTAGTAATTTTAAATTTTAATTTGATTTATACACGCACAAGTTTTATTATTTCTCAATTTTTTTTTACGTCATTTCGACTCATTAAATTTTAAATCTCAAATAATAAAATTTGTTTTTATGTCACTTCATGTGAATTAGCGAAATATGGCGGACTTCATGCCAAAGACATGTCGAGCGAGGATGTAAAAGAAAAGAATGCTTAAAGACATGTAGGTTTAAAAAAATGATATCATTAATAAAAAAATTAAGGGTGAAAGGTTATTTAGCTTAAGCGACATTTCCCTTTAGACCACTTTTTTTTTCTAGTTTAGATGGGTGCATGAGCTCACAGCCCACCTGGTGTTAAGTGCGTAATTTTGTAATGAGCTTCTAGAAGAACTCAGGTTTACGGGAGCTAACAAACTCTTCAGAGGCATTTTGTACTGTCTTTAGGGTATTAAATTATTTCGCTGGCAAGAAGTTGTCCAAAGAACTGTTAATTTTATCTAAAATAGTATGTTGAACTCGCAATGACCT